TTTGTTGTCTTTCTCTCTCATCCCGTAGGCGTTGGGAACGCTCAGAGCTCGATTCCCGAGTGTGAATTTGTATATTTATAATATTTTTCTCTTTAAGCCGCTCTACTTGACTCTCTCCGACTTGTAAGACGATTTACACTTTCCGGTAAAGATTCTTCATTACGGCATATTTTTGATGCCCTCGCCTGGGAACTATTTCTAAAAAGATGAGATCTTGATCTTTTGGCCATTTTAAAATTATAAAAAAAATTAAACTGCCTTTGTACTAAAATATTTGTTAGCTGTTAAACAGTAAATACCAGTATAAATGTGATTGAAAAATTATAAGAACCACTAACTCAGTCACTAAGCTGTTTGGATAGTTAAATTACAATATACTAACATTTTTAAACTTGTGATATCTTTCGAATGGAATGTCCGAATTTAATAATTCGAAAAGTAATATAAAGCTATTGAAACAGTCTTTAATATGAAGTAATTTATTTTTATAAGGATTAATACCAAGATACAAACAAAGTCTGGAAGAGATCGCTTTTTAGCGATAAGACCGCCTTATTGTTACTACCCTATAAGTTATTTTTGTAACATTTCTCATATATGTTTATGGTGTTCAATAAAGCATATAATAATAATGTGCCTTTTCTAGCGGCGGCATTCCAATCAAAATTTTAAAATAAAAGGACACTTATTGTGGCATAACTATAATAGTTAGACATATGCTCTCGCGACACTTTTGGAAATAATGATGTGTTCGGCAAATTCATAGTACATTATTTTATTCTATCATTAATAGTTTTCGCAGCGCACGCGATGTAAAGAATATTTTAGGTAATTTTTGTACACTTTGGGTTACTTTATTGAAGTTTTAGTAAGGATCCTATTTTTTTGAAAATATAATACAGCCTATATCAAGCGGGAATAATGTAGCTTCCCAACAGTGAAAGAATTTTTCAAATCGGTTCAGTAGTTTCGGAGCCTATTCAATACATACAAACAATCAAATCTTTCCTCTTTATAATATAGATATAGTAAGAACTAGTAAGGATTATTTACTTACTATCGGATTATTTACTTACTATATATACGTTAATGGATCTTGATTAAAAAAGTCATTATTATATGTAGAAGTATACATTTTTTTATGCAATTAATTATATAAAAATTTATATTTTTATCTATACTTTAGTATAATATAAAATGTTAGATTTGATTTATTCCTTATATTTCTAATTATGTATATATCTTATTTTGTTTTCCTTTTATATTAATATTTTGTAATTTTTACATCCTTTTTTCTTAAGGTTAGCAATAAAGCATGCACCAATAAAAAATAATTAAATGTATTAGTTATTGCCAAGTGTCAAATGTAAAAGTTTTTAGTAAAATAATTAAAAGGACTATATACATTAATTAAAAAATAATATTTAGAGTATTATCTTTCTACCAATTACTTCTAAGGGGTTATCTTCGATAATATTGACACTCTAGTATTTTACATTAAAGATGATATAAATACGTCTCTGTAACTCTGACACTTGTCATGTAATTTTTTTATGTAAAATGCTTCAACACAAGATAATCTTATAGTACAGTAGGAGCATTCGGTTGTCATTATCGTGTCATTAAAATAAGTCATGGATATCGCTCAACACGCGAAGCTAAATGAGACACAGACATTCCATCCCGTAGAGGTTTATTCAGAATTAATTATTCTGGTTGAAGCCAGACTGATTACCTGGTGTCGTGAAGATGGAGATGAAGTGAAAAAAAACCAGTCTGATTACCTGGTGTCGTAAATAAGTCCAAGAGATGAAGTGAAAAAACATACTAAGATTGTAATTTTTTCACTTCATCTCTTGGACTTATTTACGACACCAGGTAATCAGACTGGTTTTTTTTCACTTCATCTCCATCTTCACGACACCAGGTAATCAGTCTGGCTTCAACCAGAATAATTAATTCTGAATAAACCTCTACGGGATGGAATGTCTGTGTGTCATTTAGCTTCGCGTGTTGAGCAATATCCATGACTTATTTTAATGACACGATAATGACAACCGAATGCTCCTAACTGTACTATAAGATTATCTTGTGTTGAAGCATTTTACATAAAAAAATTACATGACAAGTGTCAGAGTTACAGAGACGTATTTATATCATCTTTAATGTAAAATACTAGAGTGTCAATATTATCGAAGATAACCCCTTAGAAGTTATTGGTAGAAGATAATACTCTAAATATTATTTTTTAATTAATGTATATAGTCCTTTTAATTATTTTACTAAAAACTTTTACATTTGACACTTGGCAATAACTAATACATTTAATTATTTTTTATTGGTGCATGCTTTATTGCTAACCTTAAGAAAAAAGGATGTAAAAATTACAAAATATTAATATAAAAGGAAAACAAAATAAGATATATACATAATTAGAAATATAAGGAATAAATCAAATCTAACATTTTATATTATACTAAAGTATAGATAAAAATATAAATTTATATATAATTAATTGCATAAAAAAATGTATACTTCTACATATAATAATGACTTAGACATTTTTAATCAAGATCCATTAACGTATATATAGTAAGTAAATAATCCGAGAGGAAGTAAATAATCCTTACTAGTTCTTACTATATCTATATTATAAAGAGTAAAGATTTGATTGTTTGTATGTATTGAATAGGCTCCGAAACTACTGAACCGATTTGAAAAATTCTTTCACTGTTGGGAAGCTACATTATTCCCGCTTGATATAGGCTGTATTATATTTTCAAAAAAATAGGATCCTTACTAAAACTTCAATAATGTAACCCAAAGTGTACAAAAATTACCTAAAATATTCTTTACATCGCGTGCGCTGCGAAAACTATTAATGATAGAATAAAATAATGTACTATGAATTTGCAGAACACATCATTATTTCCAAAAAGTGTCGCGAGAGCATATGTCTAACTATTATAGTTATGCCACAATAAGTGTCCTTTTATTTTAAAATTTTGATTGGAATGCCGCCGCTAGAAAAGGCACATTATTATTATATGCTTTATTGAACACCATAAACATATATGAGAAATGTTACAAAAATAACTTATAGGGTAGTAACAATAAGGCGGTCTTATCGCTAAAAAGCGATCTCTTCCAGACTTTGTTTGTATCTTGGTATTAATCCTTATAAAAATAAATTACTTCATATTAAAGACTGTTTCAATAGCTTTATATTACTTTTCGAATTATTAAATTCGGACATTCCATTCGAAAGATATCACAAGTTTAAAAATGTTAGTATATTGTAATTTAACTATCCAAACAGCTTAGTGACTGAGTTAGTGGTTCTTATAATTTTTCAATCACATTTATACTGGTATTTACTGTTTAACAGCTAACAAATATTTTAGTACAAAGGCAGTTTAATTTTTTTTATAATTTTAAAATGGCCAAAAGATCAAGATCTCATCTTTTTAGAAATAGTTCCCAGGCGAGGGCATCAAAAATATGCCGTAATGAAGAATCTTTACCGGAAAGTGTAAATCGTCTTACAAGTCGGAGAGAGTCAAGTAGAGCGGCTTAAAGAGAAAAATATTATAAATATACAAATTCACACTCGGGAATCGAGCTCTGAGCGTTCCCAACGCCTACGGGATGAGAGAGAAAGACAACAAACGTCAACGACTAGAGTTCGTAATCGACTTTTAGCTCACAGTAACAGATCATCATTAATGCATTAAGCTCAACAGTCTTCCGTCCAAATCGGAGCAATGAATAGTATAGCTATATGATATGTTTTAGACAAGGAATATTATATTCCGTTAAATATAATTATGCCACTTTACAATAAACACATTTATTTTCTACAAATCACGAGAATATGCAAGTTGTATTCTTAGTGCTTTGACAAGATAATCGTAAATAAGTCCAAGAGATGAAGTGAAAAAACATACTAAGATTGTAATTTTTTCACTTCAGTTTGTTATTTCTTTTTCTTCATCAACGATCAGAACTCTTTCGTAATAGTTAATTATCTTTATAGTTTTATTTTGTTTTCTTTTATAAAAATAGGTGGACAAGACCCATTAGTTGTATAATAAATATAACTCTAAGTCGAGGTGCTTGCAAAACTAGATACCAGTTTCAATTCGCCAAAGCCCTCCCACACTAATACTCTAGATTTATTTATAACTTTGCTATTTGTCGGTTACCTTAAGACTTGACTTGTGGCATTTAACCGTGTTCCTTTGTTTTAAGGAATGCTATGTTCCTTTCTCTCGTGTGATTTAATGTTTGATAATCATTCGGGGTCAGATAATTGTTTTTATGAAACGCACTTTTCATTTATATAAGGCATTTAATCGAAGTTTTTTGTGAAATTTTTTCAACTTGAGAGGCATTTGCCCGGGCGTTTCCTTACTGCCAACTGCCAAATTGATTTATCTCGTTTATACAATATACGAGATAAATCATTTTTCATAAAACTCGAATGTTTTTTGTCCTCCAGTTCCGTAAGCTATTTTTTTATTCGCATACCCGCGTTCAAGGTTCTATTTATATCTTTCAACTTCCGCTTGCGACCGGCAGGCTGTAAATTAATGACTTTCAAAAGTGCGGTGACGCTGTGGCTCACTCATTTTAAATAACTTAAATGTGTTTTAAACTTATTAGTTTATTCTATGTAGCCTTTCCGAGTCAACTATTTTTATGTTTATATCTGTTACATATTTTTATTTATATTATTAAATGATTTAATTATCGCTCTTAGCTGAGTGAAGCGATAATTATTCGTAAGCTTACAAACGCATTTTACGGTTTAGTAAAATCGTGTAACGTCTTCATTCGCATAATTAAGACATAAATAATGAAGTGAAAAACCAAGTTAATTTACTATTTCATTTATTCACACATCCTCGCCTATATTGCCTGTACATTTTTTTTACATTTAAATTACATTCCAAACATCTGAGTATTAGATTTGGTGTCTAAATAGCTATCACAGTTTACCATCCGTGCGCGAGTCCGTGAGCGTAAGCGCCGGGAGCGGCGTACGCGAGGCGCGCTTGGAGGAGTGGGGAGGGGTGGGTCTGGGAGAGAGACTGGGTGGCCACGGAACGGCTGCCAGCGATGGCGTGCCCTGTCAGGAGGGCGGGGGCGGCAGCGTATGCGGCGGGGGCGGCGTAGGCGGCAGGGGCGGCGTAGGCAGCGGGGCCGGCGTAGGCTGCGGGGGCGGCGGCGTAAGCAGCCACGGGAGCGGCGGCGTAAGCAGCCACAGGAGCGGCGTGACCAGCCAGCTGCTTAGCCAACACGGGGGCAACACCAGCGGCAGCGCCGTCAAGTTGGGCCTCGGCGGTCTTCACGGCGTCCACGGCCTGCCATGAGTGGTCTTCAGCGGCGTTGATGGCCTGGCCGTTGATCTCGGAAGCCTGGTCGTGCAATTCGCGGGCGGCGTCGCCAGCGGCGCGGGCATGGTCGGAGGCTTCAACGTGTGCGTCGATCACGGCGCCCTGGATGTCTCCGGGCGAGATGGTGGGCAGGGCGGGGGCGGCGTGGGCGACGGCCAGGGGAGCGGCGTGCGCTATCGCCAGCGGGGCGGCGTGACCCACCAAGCCATGGGCGTAGGGTGCTGCCAGCAGAGCGCCAGAAGGCGCGGCTGCGGCGCAGGCGAGGACGGCGGCGGCGACAATCTGAAAACACAAATTCCCATTCAAACAACGAACGAAACATCACCGTGCTCCAATATCAATGATCCAACATTCGAGTCACGTCACTAATTTTACGGCACAACACTACACACGAAACACAATACTAGAGGCGGTTTTCAACTAACCAGAACTCTCATCGTGCACTTCTGTGGTAGACTGCTCGAAGGCTACTGATTGCTCTCATTTCGTTGCCGCCGGTTTTTATACTCGTACCGCGCGTGGTGTGAAACGGAACGCGCGTGAAAAAAGTAAGTGGTCACTCTCAAGGGCGGGAAGGGTGCAGGAAGCGCGGCAAATTTGACGGATAGATACGTGTTCGAATTTCGAACGAACTAGCCTCGGCCCCGCGCCTTTGAGGTCAGTGTCAATTATCGGTTGGTATGGCGTTTGAAAGAAATTAAATCTCCTTACATCCGTTTAAACAAACTTTGCTGTTCTGATCACACAATTTTTTGAATTACGTCTGACCTATTTACACCGCTGTACGTAAGTCGTCGCTGGCGTGAGAAAAACCTGCAACTGTATAGTATGATTCACTCATGAAAGTATAATTTCCCGCTGTGAAGAATCTACATCCTTAATAAGTCACATTTGAGTTCTAGCTAAAGAATGATAGTTATGTAGGTAACTAGGTTTTTTGGTTACGTCAAACGTTGTGAAAAGTAATAACGCTCATATAATAGCCGCGTATTTGTCGTTTCTGTTCCGAAAATGTGGAAAAATATTTTAATCATTGCGATTGTTTATCATACAAGAATATAAAAGTGCATATTTATTTAATCTTTTTCGTATATTTACTTTATTGACTCTATGAAAAATTTCTTGCGGCAATACTTTGACTTGGTGAGTGATTTAATTGTTCCATTGCACGACATAAAAAAATATTTATTCAAGCAGCCTTCGCTATACTAGTGTGCATCATTTTATTATGATTTAGTTTAATACGAGTTTTTATGTCTTCAAAACCAGTGTGATTTTTACGGGGCAACGAAAACTAGTAGACTAGACGTAGGTGTCAGTAATGGTAAAGGTACATTGCTGCAATGTCCCCATATTCTGGAAAATAACGGAATCTGGACTCTATCCCCTATGACAATATGTATAAAATCGTGGAAACGGCGGAACTATAGAAATCAACATTAGGTCAACCAATAGAACTTGAACACACCGTAGACTTCTTCTCATGGTATCTTAGTCTTTCTGTTTGTTTTTTTTTTTAACAAATATTATTAAAACACTAATTGACTTGTGTGAAAGTTTCGCTAAAATTTGCTCAGTTTTTTTTAATGAAAATATTACCTATATTCTACTTGTTTATTTTTCGTCAATAGCATAGCATAATAGCATTTAAGCCTTAAAATATTTTTATTGTTAAATTTTATGCAAAATATGGCGTACCGAAAAAAAGACACGTTTGATAAATTTATATATTTATTTCCGAATGATTTTAAACCAAGATATATGAACGGGAAACATATATATATATATATATATATTGGGTAGTGTGTTTGTTAGGTTTATACATTCTATCCAATTTCACGTGCATAACTTGGAGAATGTACATAAACGTTAGATTAAAACTATATCCACATCTGATGCAAAATGTAAATAATTTGCAAACAAGTCCTTTATAACGTTAACAGGTTCTAATTTAGTGCTTAATGCATTCTAATCCACTTTCACCGGCACGCCTACCGTGCATTGCTCCACGATTGTCGTGCTTTGCGATTTACCAATATTAGGCACAATTCGTCGATTATTGTGTTTGTCATAACCTCCGCCCATGGACATTTGCAACACCCGTAGGGTTGCAGATGCGTAGCCACCTTTTGATAGAGTGGACCCCAGTTACCTCACTCACCAGACGAGACACAGTTTTCTGTGAGGTCGTGGTACATATCCCGACGGACCCGCCCATCCGTCCAACAGCGAAGTTGCGTGGCCCTACCACAGTTACCATAATTCTTTTTCGTTTTTTTAAAAACATTTCCCTTACTTTAGGATAACATTGTCCTGTGTTTTAAGAACGTTTTACAAACATAAATTTTACGTGAACAAACACCCAGATGCAAACGCGATGCGATGCAAACAACTATTTGTGGGCCACACAAATAGTTGTCCCGTGTGGGAATCCAACCCACGACCCCCGAAACCGAAGCCAATACCTTTGCAACTGCGCCACTGAGTGATCTTAAAACTAAAACTACAGATATGTCGATAACTTTCTAAAGTCTCTGACGTCGATGTGCTTTTCAATTGTTTACAATAAACCGTTTTGTCTCTAAAGTTTTACTGAAGGCTTTGCTTGTACCCATCATTGAATTGGTGGACATGCGTTGATTTAATAGTGTGGAAGAGAAAAATGTGTGGATAGATCAGAAGAAATAGTTATTTGTGTTATACAGGTATGTGATATCTACTGCCGTATGTAAGTTTATTTTTTTTTTAATTTTGTCGTTACTCGACTGCCTGTTCTCTAGATTAACATACATACGAAACTCTAGTTTTTTTCTCACCTTTGTCATTGGTAGTACGTGTATGGAATAATGCAGGGGGCTCGAATCTTCGGTCTGTGATCAACTTTTTTCCGCCCCATCGTACTTAATAGTATATCAGTTACATGGCATTTTGACGGGTTTTCTTAAGAGATAAGTTGTGAACTCAGTGGTTTCAGCCTTTTATTTAAATATTGCGTCTTACGTAGATAAATTTCACGGGGACAATCATTCAGATCCGAACCATCTTGTGTGGGTCACAAGAACAGTTGTCCCGTGCGGGTATCGAAACCATAACCCCTTATGCCGTAACAATATCTTGGCAAATCCGCCACGAAGTTTACAATCTTATTTGCGTAATCTTGTAAATCTTATATCCTATCATTAATAAAAAATGATGATGAATCTGAAAAATGTTCATAATACAAGACTATAGTATTCACGGGCAGTATTTTTTAGACCTAAGGCTTAAGGGGTGGTATAGAAGTAACGTAACAACCTATATATGCCACTGCTGGGCAAATGTCTCCTCTATACAGAAGGTATTAATGTTTATATATTGTGTTTATTTTTTTGAACCGTTACGACCTAGGAACCTTCAAGAAGAGGGCATACTCTTCCCTAAAAGACCGGCAACGCATTTGTAAGCCCTCTGGTGTTGCCGGTGTCCATGGACGGCGTCTATCACATACCATCAGGGGGCCTCCTGCTCGTATGCCGATTTTCCCATAAAATATAAAAAAAAAATAAAAGCGAGCCCCCGTACGCTGAGATACCGCGGCAGTGTACAAAACGTAAATACAACCCGCACGTTAAGAGGTTTGGGCTCCCCTGCAGTGGAGCGCGCCCAGCCTCGCTCTCGAAACATTTCACATGTGACGTCTCCGTCATTAAGACGCGATATTAGCCCGGGCCGGGTTCATCGACGCAACATATCATTAGGAGCCCCGCGCGGTGTCGCCATCGTGCGAACCTCCTCGGACCGCCAGCACCTGCTTTTTCGCACGTAATTTGGAAACGGTTATTGTCGATTTACGGATAGAACAATGTGTTACGCAATCGCCCGCACGCGGACACCGAGCGCTTTGTGCGATAGGCAAGGCCGCTTATTAAAGTGATTGAGTGAATGCGTTGAAGGAAATTGCGTGGGCATGCGTTACTTTTGTCTGTTTGTATGTTGTTCGCAGTGCTCTTGGGTTTTTCTCTGCGATTGTTGGTTCGCTTCTCGGTACAGTTACAATCACGACTAGTGTGTTAATGCTATATAACAACTCTTTTACTCGGACTGATCGGTGTTGAAAATTAATCACTGAAACCCTTACTAAAATTTTTGCAAAGCAAATGCTTTTATTTAGTGTATTTCATACTGTATTCCACCACACTTTAAAACCCTTAATCTTATAACCACTGCGCTATAACAAGTAAGCACCTCTGGCAAAAGGAACTTCTTACGACACTAAAACATACTCGTATCCTGCGCACTTGACGATATCCGGTTGGTACTAAAATAGAACGCTATGTGGTCAAGCAATGAATAAGCTCATTTAACGTTGATTCCGTATGACCTTTAATTTCTTAACGTTATATACCCAAAAACATAAATCAACCCTAGACCAATTCACCAAATTCATCGTGTCAAAATCTAAAGGATATGTAGTAGGCAATTTACCAAACGTGGATGTTTTACAAAACGCGTTATATTTGGATATACAGGGAGGCTTTGCTGAGTGTATTCATTTTTTTTTTTATTAAATTCTAGACATAAATAATGTTATATAAAAAAGATAAATATTTAAAATCACTCGTTCATTCATTTGAACTTATCTCAAAATTGTGATTTATGGGCAACACATTTATTTTACGCGCGACCAAACACGCACACAATTTCGTTTCATAAGTATACGACGCATTGAAAAAAAAAATAAGTTTGTTTTTATTTAAATAAACGATTATACTACTGAGTCTGAACCTCCTGTGTGAATTTGGGCACCTTTAGAAAAGCCACCCTGTATATATCGCTCATAATTAACCAGAAGATAGATAGATACTTGTTACATAATCACGCGTAGCGTCAACGTATCTCTCAATATGAGTACATCGCTGTTTTTTTTTTTTTTAAATTCAAAAACTGGCTAGCACTTGACTGCCATCCCACCTGATGGTAAGTGGCGATGCAGCCGTTGATGGGAAAGGTGTATCAATGATCTGCGGGTCTATGATATTCTAAAATCTCTGTCGCTCGATGTGTTCTTCGACCGATTTCTACTGGCATAGGTATAATAGATTAGTGTTATATGTAAAAAAATCTTAGTATAATAAATAATTCAATAATTTAATCCCTTTTAAAAACTCTGTAAGTAAAGGAGAATAGAAAGAGGCTTTATTTGTAGTATTATTTATATAGTATAAATATTTCATAATTATTAAAACAACTGATAGAAACTAATAATAAGGAAGTCAACCTCTTTACCTATGAGTGTATCACATATTTTTCATTTTTTTAATTCCTCAATATTAACGACTTGTCGATTCCCAATCTCTGATTTATTTTGTGCCTGATAATAACGTAAAGGTAATCCAAAATATTTATTCTAAACAGTATTAAACAATTCTTACATCGAAATTCGACTTGCTAAATGGAA